ACCACCAGCTGCAGGCAGGAAATATGAACTCTGATCTAATTCAGTATGTACGATGGCCCCACTGCCCGCTCATCCCTGCAGCTGTTCAAATTGGGATTCATGCAGTCGATGTGTTTGTGAGTCACCATCCCAAGAGAGATAAGGAACCTGGCTGAGAGGGAGGAGGAAGAACGAGAGAGCAAAGAGCAGGAGACGCAGAAAGCAAAGGAGGTGGGGGCAGGAGTGTGTGAGTCATAAGGCCCGCCTGGTTGAGGTGATGATCCTCAAGATGCTATTTCTGGCGTCACCATTAATTCTGTGTTATCTCCTCCACCAGCTACTCTGTTTTCTGAGTGTGTATGCATGTGGGCGTGTTCAGTAAGGCCCTAAATAACACACCCTCCAGACTGATTACAAGGGGGGCTTCTACAATGTAAAAATGAACATTATTAACATATTATTTGAATGAATTTAAATCTATAATTATTTAAACATTGGTTTGAATCAATAATCATAAATTATAATTTTTTCTTGATTAAGAAAAAAAGGGAAGGCACCGGATTTTAAAGAACACAAAGTCCTGCTTAGCTAGTATTGTACACTATATTTAAATAACCCTGCAGGGAATTTAGGAAGTAAAAGTGTCAGTTGTTTGGCACACATAGATGGCAACTGTGAGATATTAAATGAAAACAGCAGGGAAGATTAAAGATTAAAATAAGATCAAAAACATTTGACCCTTGTGACAACAGTGAAGTATTTTTTTATTTCTGTAGGGAGACATAAACTAAGCCACTTTCTACTCCCACTTTATACCACTTTATACCTCTCACTTCTGTTGGGAGGTATAAACTTTTATCAACAGTTAAGCCACCAGTCTGTCAGTTTACTGCACAGTGTGCTGCAATACAGTTTTCACACATTTCCAATCCACCGATATGTCAGTTTTATTGTGCTATTCAAAAAATAGACATACTGCATGTAGACACTGATTTATATGTGTTCTTTATCCGATCTGTTCGCAAATAAGGGTAGCATCGTTTTTTTATTTAGTGGGATGATCCACTGTTACATCAGGAAAGACTTCAAGTTAGATATATAGCAGAAAAAAATATCCATTATGGATTAGAGTTTGTAATGCAGCAGGAAACAGCATAACATTACAAACCAGCACTGCCTGTTAAAGTCCTGGCCGCACTAGAAGGTTTGTCCATAATGGCTTGTTTAACAGCTTGGCTTTTCTTCATGTACTGAAGGCCCGCAGCTCAGTGGCTGTGTATCTTGAAAATGAAATGCCTTGCTTATTACTAGGTTGTTTTTTTTGTAGTTACAGCTATGCTTCTGTGTTGCATCTGAGAGTAAATGTGTTAAAATGACACCAGGACTTTTTAAATAATAGTAGAAAGAAGATTGGAGGTAATTAGAATAATATTGAAAAGGTCAACTTACATTGACAATAGTAGTAAGCATAGCAAATCAACATCTTATAGAGTAAATATACAAGCTGTGCTGCAAGAATTTGATGATGAGATATGGTTTAAAAAAAAACTGAAGCTTGTATCTTGGACAGTAGAATTGTTCTAACCAAGTACAGATTTTTTTTACAGTACAGGTTTGTTTATAATGATGAAACAAAAGATACATGTTAAGAAAAACAATGCAAAAACAAGCTTTTAAAGTGGTAGGGTAGGATTACAGTAATTGTAATAAATATATGTACAACACATGTGGACACAGTGTATTAAAAAGCAGAAAAACATGGCCGTTACCAGCTTATTGTGCTTCTAAGTTACAGTTACAGTGTGAATACTTGTATAACATAAAGGAATGAATAAAACAGGAACCGTCTTAATAATCACTCCTTCAGTTTCACATCCAGTACATAAGCAAATTCTCTATAGTGTAAAAAAATGTGGTCCTGGAATTTATCAGCTCTCCGGTGTTAAACATTGCTGACTGTGATATAAATTATTGAGTTTCAAATTTTGTGTGTGATAGTAGGAAGTCATTTATTGAATCTCTTTAATTCATCCATTAGTGCAGTCAAATACAATCCCATTGGAGAGCTGAACGTGCTCTCATCTTCCCTCCGTTATGTAACCTGTGTGTCACATTGTCTCTCTCGATGCACCCATCTTCATTTTCACGAGTAGCACTGACTCATGTCTGGTAGCTATTAGCATTTTGATTCAAAACAGCGTCTGCTCTGATGGATCTGTGTGTGTCTATGAGCCTTTTGTCACAGGGTGAAAAGGAAACAATGGAAAGGAAAAGGTGGGCAAGCCAGTGTTTAGGTATTAAAAACTTAAAAATAAAGATAGAAGACATGATGAATGTCTTATTTGCTGTATGTTGGAAGTAATCTGACATATCATTGCTGTTCTGCATGCTCTGTCTGGTTCAATGTAACTTTCATCAGCCTGTCTGCTCTTGTATATTGATTCTGTCTGAAGATTTACTGAAGGAAACAAGGTCACTGGCCTAATAAGACAGAAGATAGACACAGAATCTCCCCATACTGTCTCTTCTAATCTGCATTTATGTCTAATCTGTTAGGACACTGTGAACCTTTAGAAAGGTTAAGACCTTTGAGTTACTACTTTATCGGAAAGGAGAAAAAAAAAGGTATTATAAAACGATGTCGTGCTTTGTCAGCCTGGATGAACGTTTCAGGTAAATATAGTACATTTACACTTTTAACAGCCAATAATTCCAAACACGCACTCATCCTGATGGTCACTAGTCAGAGGTAATGAGTGTTAACTGGTACATTTGATCATTTCTGGGAATGGGGGCCAAAAATTTCAAATATGCCACTTGCTGCCCATCGCCCTCCAGCAGTAACAGCATTACCTTTTACAAAAGTAAGAATTCTCTCAACAGTAAACAAACAGAAAACAAGCTCTGCGGAAACTACTGCACAGTGTCACTATTCTGCAGATGTCTTTTCTAGTGAAATTAAAAAAAAAATGTTTTCTTAATATTAAAGTGAGTGTTTTTTTATTGTTTCATAACATCTGATAAATAAATCCCCTATATTTTGTTCATCCTTTCTAAGTTTTTAAAATCTCATTTTAATGTCAAACAAAATAAGATGAGGAACCAATACTATCTGTTATGTAAGCTGACCTTTTAAAAAGATAAACTGCACACATGGATCGACATACACACACCGGTCCTCTTACAACTTTCACTTTATGCCTTGATCTTAGCCTTGATCAGGGCTCTGACTTTGTGGTCACTGGCTGGATGTTCTGAACTTTGGTAAGTGTGACTGGCACCTTTCCTTCTCCGGGAGTTGGTGCTCTCATTATTGGAGTACCTGTGGCATAAGCAGTTACTGTGATTTAGATATTCATATTCATATACAAACGCAGAGCCATTTCAACAACCTTTTACATTTATTCTGCTTACATTAATTTGAACGTGTTATACTGGGAAAGAAGAGAATGAAAACTTACCAACTGTTGCTTGCAGATCTGCCAACCTCTCCTTAAACTTCTGTTGCAGAAACAATTCTTCTTTGGAGTAGCTTTTGGCAAAGGCAGACAGCAGGAGACCCACAGCCATGGAGGTGCCTCCCACACAGAACAGCACTGCACCAGTCAGCTTACAAACATCCAGTGCACGGTTGAAACTGACGGCATGGCTGTTACAAGAACAGTTCAAAGCAATCATTTATTTGCCACCAAGTCTCTTTGTTCAATATTTATACAACTATTTAGAGTTATTTCTAAATTTAAACATATGCATGTCCTACTAGAACACTGTTCTTGGACATTATTGTCAAGACTAAGAAGTAACACTTCAAATAAAGTTCATGATCTGTTAATTTTAAGTCTATGTAACCTTTACTATTTCAGAATAGCAAAGGTTACCTAAATTCTTTCCCACTCGTACATTGTACTGTTTCTATACCTGTCAACAAAGAGTAGATCATCTTCACCAAATGCTTCAATCTTGGCTGGAGTGGCATAACCTACCAAAACAACAATGAGGCCCGCAAACAAGATCAAGGTACCGAACGTGAGACAGACCTGTGAAAAGAAAAAGTCAAAAAACAACGAAAGTCAAAAACATATATTGTTATAGTTGTAAATAATCTGGTTTATTTTCAGTTCCATTATATTGGTGTTGTTTTGAACAAGCTAAGGGTTAATCTGACCTTCCAGAGTAAAGAGCTCCACCTGCTAGGCAATCTCTGAATCTGAAAATCTTCATCACGTTCCCAGATAGAAGCTGTGCAGTCCTCATAAAACTGGATAAGGAATCAAAGAAAAGTACAGGCTTTCTTAAAATTCACATCTTGAACCTAAACCTACAAGAAATGAAGGTTTGGTGATTTTGTGCTTAAGCGTTTAACCGTTTGTGAGTTTCATAGGAGACGTCTTACTTTGTGTGGGTGGAGTCTGGTTACACTGTTACCTGGTGTAGGTAGGAGCGGACTCCATACTGCTGGTAGTTCCCACTGGTTTGCACTTGCTCTCTATATTCTGACCCACAGATCTCTGAGCAAGAAGTCATCCTTCACGTCTGTCTACCTGAGAACACACAAAAAAACACACATCTCCAATAACATTTAAGCCTGATTTAATTCAAGAGATCTGGAAGGAAACTAAACTCTTGCACCTCTTCTTAATTATATAATGTACATATCTCCCAATATTGGAAACCTCATTTCAATGGAGGAAAATCTAGCTCAAAAACTTCTCAATTCAGCAAGGCAAGAAAAAAAATGACAGTCAAAAGGAAAGTGTGGGTTTGAATATAATGGGATCTATCTTCATATTTAAAAATTTTAGATTTACCATGAAAGCAGCCTGATATCAGTGGCATTACTAAAGCCTAATAGTACAGCCTTCTGCTCACCACAGCCAAAGCCGCATGGGTGAGGCTATTTCTGTTTTTATACATCATACTTGCAGTAGGAGTTAAAAAAGGCAGTTTGTTTATTTTATTTTTTGTTGTTGTTTGCATACACAGTTTCTGGACAAACTGTTTAAACACATCGTTGCATACACATGTGCAGTACATTTATGCTTTAGTACACATAAGCATGTAGTCACTGTTGTTATGTAACAATGTACTGAAGGAATGGGTGCCATAGGGCATTGAGTTTAATGATGCATTCTGCTTGTCTGCTGTTATAAAATAAAGCATGACATATTACTCTTTGGATCCAATAATGTTTCAGCTAAATGCAGAGGGTGCTGACATACATAGAAAAATATTTTTTGTAATGTTTAAAGAAAAACTATTAACAAACATAACTGCATATTGGACTTTGCCTCAACAGTGAAATATGTGAAATATGTAACTATTAGGTGTTAGTTAAAAACGAATAATATCTGTGACCATATGTGAATAGATTTGATGAACATTAATCCCCCACTGACTGAGAGCTAACTGCATTGCACAGTTCTGCTCTGTACAAACCAATTATGCTTCATGTTTTTGTTAGCTAATACTAAATCAACTATTTCTGCTGGACTGAATTACAATAAGAAAAGGGTATAATTGTGGGAATGAAATATTGAGTCCATATATGTTAAAATGTGATCATGCTCTTTCCAGTAAGACACTGGTATACAATGCATTGTGGTTGGAATAATGAAAAAAAAAACTAAGTGTCTAACCTCATAAGAAAACCATTGGCCTGATATAGTAAAACTCATCAGTTAGATGTCAGGCATAATAGTACATAAAATAGCAAGGGTTACATACCTCTTGTAGCTGGAACCACATTATACCAAACTAGCGAGTAAATTATTTACAATATTATTATTAAAAGAAAAACATTATATAGTAATCATCTATATAAATTCATAGTTAATTACACATTACTAAATAACTTCACTTTTAACTAATTAGTAATCTTATAAAATATGCTATTTTTCCATCAGTTTCTATGATATCAAATTATCATAATAATATAGTATTGTGCATTACATCATAGTCAATGTCAGACGATAACACCTCACACACATCAGCACACATTGCATTTTATAAAACATATTGGTTGTTTGTTTGTTAGTTTGGTTTTAATCATTCCCAGACGCTATCATTCTTAGGTAATAATGGTTTATTTGCAGATCAGTGATCCAAACCTCTTGTGAAGGACCTCTTGCTCACATTTGCATGCACTGGACATTTATAATATGCAGGGTTAATGGTGTAAACCACAACATTAAGCTGCCCAAACTTAACCACCTAGTGAAGAAAACGTTAACAGTAATTGAAACAGATTGTGATCTTAATGTTCAAACTCCTGTTACACTTCACATATATTATAAACCTGATGTTCACCTTTGTAATAGTCATTCAAATAATGTTAATAGAGGCAGTAAACAATATTATCAGTCATAATCTGAAGCTTTACAGTTAATATCTAAACAACATTTTTAAATGAAAGTTCTACAGCCAAATTATATGTGGATGAGCTGTAGAGTAAATCATATTAAATCAATTTACTAATGCAAAGTGTACAGTGATAGTGCAATATGAAAGAGTCCTACAGGAGGAAATTTGAGTGGACATGTCAAGTATTTTTTAACCTCCAACCCACAGTGCTATTAATATTGTTACACAACTCTAGTTTAAACTGTCGCTATGCTTATTTTTACTTAGCTTTTATATAGTATAGTATATATAGTTACCATTACATAATCAGTGGACCTGATGATGTTTATACTTTGGTCTGTTTTATTTATGTACTCCATAGTCACAAAATAGTTCAAAAACTTTTTAATTGGCGTAAACTAACCATATGACAAATACCAACAAAGGGTTAGTTCACTTTGTCTTCATTGTTGTAATTATAAGTAAGTAGATAAAGGACACATTCTCTCTGTGTGCAAACAACAGCTCTCATGTTGCTATTCGACCCAGCCAGTGCCTCTTATCTGAAATGCTGCATACAGATGAGGCACACTCTTCCCTAGTACATTTACCTTTGTCACACACAGCTTAATTGTGCACAGTAAAGAAGAATATTTATATTGTACTCATATATCATGTACCTGAAAAATGAACAATGAAAGCTTGAGTTTGCTGACTGACTGTTAGTTTTAATTTTCTGTTTTCTTAGTTGTTGAGTCAACAACAAGGTGTAATTCAAATTTAATTCAGTCTGTTAACTTTAATGGGAACTTGTTATAATAGCTTTTAAGAAAACAAACATTTTTAATTAGAATGGCTTGAATAACTTTAAACAACGTCCAATCTTTAACTAATCTTCAATCAGCTGTTGTGTGTTTCCTTTCTACAACAGATAAAACAAGACATAAAAATAAAAGTAAATCAAACACAAACATTTTAACCCATCTCGGTTAAAAATCAGAGCTGTTAGGACAAATCAAACCAGAATGTCTTGATATAGCGGTCCAAACACATCAGCACCGACCACTGACCGTGGTGCTGAAAATCATTCAGCCTTAACCCAGCAGGAAAACACACAGACGTAATATGTGACGCCAGTCTGAAAATAGACTTCATCCATTCGCCCTCCCAACCCCCTATGAGATTGAGACCCACTGCACCGTTGAAGCTTAACCTTGCAAATGTGGACTTCACGTAAAAAAACAACACAAAAAACGTCCAAATCAAGTTGGCTGATGTTGTAACCACTTGAGAAAAAGTAGCTAATCCTTTAGCATGAAATGACATACGCCGAAGAAACGTATTGGAGAAACGTTGTTCCATGTTATTAAGACAGCAACGCCCAAAACGAGTTTAAAGTAAGACAGAAATGCTCGACATAGAAAAAATGAGATACAAACGAATGCACGGTGAGTAAAACAAACATTACTTTGACATTGTCAACACGGAAGCTTCTTCCAGATGTGCAGCGGTGCATGGAGGACACGACTGAAGGAGTCTTCTTAGAAAATGTGAATTCTCGGTGTGCTACTAACAAAAACAACAACCCGCACCGATGCTACAGCACTATCCCCATATTTCCAAATAATAATAATTAATGATGATGATAAATCGCCATTTACCTGTCATTACCAGCTCGGAGAGTGATCATTCGCTGCTCTTCCCTTAGCCGGGTCCCATCACTCTACAGTCACCCCTCTCTCTCTGTCGATGATTCACATTTTCACGCTGTCTACTGCGCAGGCGTTCCATCCATGACAGTATATGATTCAGTAACGATTATAAATAACCAGGCAGGAGTGATGGAAGGATTAGAAAAAAAGATTTCATTCATAATTTTACAGAAT